ACTAACACCCAGGATGCCACCCACACCAGTCACTAACACCCAGGATGCCACCCACACCAGTCCACTAACACCCAGGATGCCACCCACACCAGTCCACTAACACCCAGGATGCCACCCACACCAGTCCACTAACACCCAGGATGCCACCCACACCAGTCCACTAACACCCAGGATGCCACCCACACCAGTCCACTAACACCCAGGATGCCACCCACACCAGTCCACTAACACCCAGGATGCCACCCACACCAGTCCACTAACACCCAGGATGCCACCCACACCAGTCCACTAACACCCAGGATGCCACCCACACCAGTCCACTAACACCCAGGATGCCACCCACACCAGTCCACTAACACCCAGGATGCCACCCACACCAGTCCACTAACACCCAGGATGCCACCCACACCAGTCCACTAACACCCAGGATGCCACCCACACCAGTCCACTAACACCCAGGATGCCACCCACACCAGTCCACTAACACCCAGGATGCCACCCACACCAGTCCACTAACACCCAGGATGCCACCCACACCAGTCCACTAACACCCAGGATGCCACCCACACCAGTCCACTAACACCCAGGATGCCACCCACACAAGTCCACTAACACCCAGGTACCTACTGTACTTATGTGAGAGTCATCCTGGACCTGTCTCCAAGAGAACATGTAGGTCAGGAAGACTTACAACAACTGAATTTTAAAGACAGTAAAACAACTAAAGTTACATCACGTTTATTAATTTTCACCCTTGAAGATTTGAGGTTATCAGTCCCTCAACCTGGAGAAGAGTTCTGTTCCATAGTCTGAAACAGTCTGATTGTTTCAGACTATGGAACAGAACTCTTCTTCAGGGTGAGGGACTGATAACCTCAAATCTTCAAGGGTGAGGGACTGATAACCTCAAATCTTCAAGGGTGAGGGACTGATAACCTCAAATCTTCAAGGGTGAGGGACTGATAACCTCAAATCTTCAAGGTGAGGGACTGATAACCTCAAATCTTCAAGGGTGAGGGACTGATAACCTCAAATCTTCAAGGGTGAGGGACTGATAACCTCAAATCTTCAAGGGTGAGGGACTGATAACCTCAAATCTTCAAGGGTGAGGGACTGATAACCTCAAATCTTCAAGGGTGAGGGACTGATAACCTCAAATCTTCAAGGGTGAGGGACTGATAACCTCAAATCTTCAAGGGTGAGGGACTGATAACCTCAAATCTTCAAGGGTGAGGGACTGATAACCTCAAATCTTGAAGGGTGAGGGACTGATTACATCGTCTTCACATCTCTACTGCCTACTTCTGTACTCGACTGAAGAAGCCTACTGTGTAGGCTTCTTCAGTCGAGTACAGGACAGGCACCTAAAGTCAGTACCTGACCAACCAGGCTGTGGTTCGTACGTCAGCTTGCGTGCAGCCAGCATTAACAGCCTGGTTGATCAGACCCTGAGCCACCGTGAGGCCTGGTCTCAGACCGAGCCGCGGGGGCGTTGACCCCCGGAACCTTCTCCAGGTAAACTTGTACATGTCAAAGTCAGTCATATCATGAATCAGTTCAAGAAGACACCTAAGACGTACCTAATGAATGTAGCTACCTGGAGTTTACCTGGAGAGAGTTCCGGGGGTCAACGCCCCCGCGGCCCGGTCTGAGACCAGGCCTCCTGGTGGATCAGAGCCTGATCAACCAGGCTGTTGCTGCTGGCTGCACGCAAACCAACATACGAGCCACAGCCCGGCTGATCCGGAACTGACTTTAGGTGCTTGTCCAGTGCCAGCTTGAAGACTGCCAGGGGTCTGTTGGTAATCCCCCTTATGTGTGCTGGGAGGCAGTTGAACAGTCTCGGGCCCCTGACACTTATTGTATGGTCTCTTAACGTGCTAGTGACACCCCTGCTTTTCATTGGGGGGATGGTGCATCGTCTGCCAAGTCTTTTGCTTTCGTAGTGGGTGATTTTCGTGTGCAAGTTCGGTACTAGTCCCTCTAGGATTTTCCAGGTGTATATAATCATGTATCTCTCCCTCCTGCGTTCCAGGGAATACAGGTTTAGGAACCTCAAGCGCTCCCAATAATTGAGGTGTTTTATCTCCGTTATGCGCGCCGTGAAAGTTCTCTGTACATTTTCTAGGTCGGCAATTTCACCTGCCTTGAAAGGTGCTGTTAGTGTGCAGCAATATTCCAGCCTAGATAGAACAAGTGACCTGAAGAGTGCCATCATGGGCTTGGCCTCCCTAGTTTTGAAGGTTCTCATTATCCATCCTGTCATTTTTCTAGCAGATGCGATTGATACAATGTTATGGTCCTTGAAGGTGAGATCCTCCGACATGATCACTCCCAGGTCTTTGACGTTGGTGTTTCGCTCTATTTTGTGGCCAGAATTTGTTTTGTACTCTGATGAAGATTTAATTTCCTCATGTTTACCATATCTGAGTAATTGAAATTTCTCATCGTTGAACTTCATATTGTTTTCTGCAGCCCACTGAAAGATTTGGTTGATGTCTGCCTGGAGCTTTGCAGTGTCTGCAATGGAAGACACTGTCATGCAGATTCGGGTGTCATCTGCAAAGGAAGACACGGTGCTGTGGCTGACATCCTTGTCTATGTCGGATATAAGGATGAGGAACAAGATGGGAGCGAGTACTGTGCCTTGTGGAACAGAGCTTTTCACCGTAGCTGCCTCGGACTTTACTCTGTTGACGACTACTCTCTGTGTTCTGTTAGTGAGGAAATTATAGATCCATCGACCGACTTTTCCTGTTATTCCTTTAGCACGCATTTTGTGCGCTATTACGCCATGGTCACACTTGTCGAAGGCTTTTGCAAAGTCTGTATATATTACATCTGCATTCTTTTTGTCTTCTAGTGCATTTAAGACCTTGTCGTAGTGGTCCAATAGTTGAGACAGACAGGAGCGACCTGTTCTAAACCCATGTTGCCCTGGGTTGTGTAACTGATGGGTTTCTAGATGCGTGGTGATCTTGCTTCTTAGGACCCTTTCAAAGATTTTTATGATATGGGATGTTAGTGCTATTGGTCTGTAGTTCTTTGCTGTTGCTTTACTGCCCCCTTTGTGGAGTGGGGCTATGTCTGTTGTTTTTAGTAACTGTGGGACGACCCCCGTGTCCATGCTCCCTCTCCATAGGATGGAAAAGGCTCGTGATAGGGGCTTCTTGCAGTTCTTGATGAACACAGAGTTCCATGAGTCTGGCCCTGGGGCAGAGTGCATGGGCATGTCATTTATCGCCTGTTCGAAGTCATTTGGCGTCAGGATAACATCGGATAGGCTTGTGTTAATCAAATTTTGTGGCTCTCTCATAAAAAATTCATTTTGATCTTCGACTCTCAGTCTGGTTAGAAAGAAGACTGATTTCTTGACTCACGAAATCGTAATGACACGATTGCAAACCATACCACGGGTGGGGATTGAACTCGTGGCGAGTGAGGGGACTAGAGCTAGAGTTCGTCACGGCCACGCTGGCGGGGAGATCCATCTGTAAAAACTTGTGGTGCCTGTGCTAACCTCTCCATGGTATATAAATATAGCTAGTTAGATGAACCTTACTGTACCCAGGTGAGGGAGTGGCTAACACACTCACCAACAGTTTTATGACTCACTCGCCACGAGTTCAATCCTCGCCTGTGGTTACTGATTTCTTCAATATCTAACATACTGCAATCTAATTCTATTTTTAATATTAATGTACATAACTAAATTTACATTATTCCTAGTATATCTCCTTATATTGCAGCGCTGTATAGCCCTTGTCCCCTCAGGGAAGGTTCCTTGATGTTGGTGAGGGGCTCTTGATTTAGGGAATTGGATCTGTGCTCCAGTTCCCCGAATTAAGCCTGAATGCCTTCCACATCCCCCCCACCAGGCGCTGTATAATCCTACGGGTTTAGCGCTTCTCCCTTGATTATAATAATAATAATAATAATGTATAGCCCTTGCTGTTTAGCGCTTCTTTTTGATCATATTAATAATGTTCTCCTTTTATTGTAACTACTTTTCCTATAGTTAAATTACTTACCTGTTATGAATAAAAAGTTTAAAACTTACTAATTTAAGAGGCACGTCATTTGTCCAGTTTTCTAATACGTTATTTCTCCCCCATAATCTACCTTAACTATAATTATTATCACATTTACTTTCATAAGATCAAGTCCAGGAGCTTTACTTAATTCACGATATAACTTAAATATTTGATGACAATTATGTTGCCCAGATCTCTGCAACACAATTATCCTCAAAGATTTGTTAAGTTATACCACGAATTAAGCAAAATGTGATATTATTATTACGCACATTAAAGGCCCTAAAATCTGGAATTCATTACCTGTAAATATAAAAGAAACACTACCTGTTTATAAATTCAAGTCTCTTCTCAAAGTTCACTTACTCACCCAAAACCAAATAAATACTGAATAACTGAACCATATAAATTGTATATCCTATATGTTACTCACAATTATATCACATAAATGTTAAACCTAGGACCCAATCTAACTTTATTATTTTTTTAAATACACTACCTAACAGAATACTCCATTCTACTGTATGTACAACAATGCAAGCAACCATATGACCTGTCTTTGTAATACTCATTTGTGCTTTATAGTTATCTGTTTACAATAATGTTTTATCACTGATTTCATCATTGCTTAGTTAATCTTAAGTTAATTTTAAGCCAGCCCGTAATGCTATGCATATAAGTGGCTTTGGCATGCTGCTCTTACCTGTATTTTTTGTACCTCTGTATGTATGCTAAAATTACTAAATAAATAAATAAATAAAATTATAATCAAGGGGGAAGCGCTAAACCCGGAGGATTATACAGCGCCTGGGGAGGGGGGGGGGAGGCATTCAGGCTTAATTCGGGGAACTGGAGCACAGATCAAATTCCCTAAATCAAGAGCCCCTCACCAACATCAAGGAACCTTCCTTGAGGGGCACAATGTGATAATAATTATGGACAAGATAGATTATAGTGGAAAAATAAACATGATATTAGAAGACAGGGAAACTCACAGGTTTCACAAGAGTGTGGTTGATGTGGTAACACTGGTAAGACATATTCAGGTCACCAGGTCACCAGCAGGTCAAGAAATAACTAAAGGGTTATAATTAACCATAATTTGTAAAAGGGTGGAGGGGTAAGCCAGCGGAAGGCCTCGGTTAGATAACCAAAAGCTCCAACGACGGGTTATCACCTAAGACCCGAGTCAGGAGACACTTGTCCTGTGTCCTGACCTGACGTAACTACCAGGAGGTCACCAGGAGGTCATCTAGCATAGTGATGGTGATGGGGTAGGTGATGGTGTCTTGTGTTGTGTCTAAACAGGTGGCCTCCCAGCTGGTGTCTCACCCAGCTGTACCAACAATGAAAGACAAAAGGATGAAGTTAGACGATGATGATTACAGGTTTGGTGCTAAACTACAGCAGCTGGTTATTACTTGGAATGAAGAACGACTCAAACATGTGTCAGAAGAACGTATTAAAAGGTATTAAACTACTACCAGTATCTTACCTGCACCAGTTTTTTTTTAACCAGAGTTTTCACGTTTCTAAGTAGCTCTTTAATTTTCAAGGTTTCTATATTAATATTCTAGGTTTCTAAGTAGCTCCTTGATTTTCCAGGTTTCTAAGTAGCTCCTTGATTTTCCAGGTTTCTAAGTAGCTCCTTGATTTTCCAGGTTTCTAAGTAGCTCCTTGATTTTCCAGGTTTCTAAGTAGATCCTTGATTTTCCAGGTTTCTAAGTAGCTCCTTGATTTTCCAGGTTTCTAAGTAGATCCTTGATTTTCCAGGTTTCTAAATAGATCCTTGATTTTCCAGGTTTCTAAGTAGCTCCTTGATTTTCCAGGTTTCTAAGTAGCTCCTTGATTTTCCAGGTTTCTAACTAGCTCCTTGATTTTCCAGGTTTTTAAGTAGCTCCTTGATTTTCCAGGTTTCTAAGTAGCTCCTTGATTTTCCAGAAACATTGGATTGCATTTCTGGTTTAATTTAAGTGATTTGTTTGCTTTGGCTTATCCTGAGTCACTTTACACACATTACTATTGTATAAGACATTTGTGTAGATTTTGATTTGTAAATTTTACCTGAATAGAAACTTAGCTACAAAGACCCCAATGGAACCAGGTCACTTCGTTTGACTTTTTTTTGAAGTTATCCTGATGTGTAATTTACACATACGTTACTGTTTACCTGGAGAGAGTTCCGGGGGTCAACGCCCCCGCGGCCCGGTCTGTGACCAGGCCTCCTGGTGGATCAGAGCCTGATCAACCAGGCTGTTGCTGCTGGCTGCACGCAAACCAGTGTACGAGCCACAGCCCGGCTGGTCAGGAACCGACTTTAGGTGCTTGTCCAGTGCCAGCTTGAAGACTGCCAGGGGTCTGTTGGTAATCCCCCTTATGTATGCTGTGTAACTGTGTACCTGTGCTGGAATAAACTTAGCTACGTACTTATTTACTCTGACTTTTTTGAGCTATCCTAGATAATCTACGCACACATGCTGCTATGTATGATAATTTATGTTGCTGTATTCATGTGTACTTGAATAAAAACTTAATTGCAAATAAATCACACTCTTTTGGCTTTGGGGTGTACAAGTCTTTCAGTTTAAAGTTAACTCTTGGTATAAACCTTGGTAATAAATACCGACAAGTTGGTTTAGAAAGACACGTAAGCAAACACTATAACATATTTATTAGAAAACGTTTCGGTCCTGGGACCTTGATCAAGGTCCCAGGACCGAAACGTTTTCTAATAAATATGCTATAGTGTTCGCTTACGTGTCTTTCTAAACCAAAGTTAACTCTTACTACCAGGATATTTTATATGTAGTTAAGGAGAATCTTGATGAATACTGAAGTGTAATGCTCTTCTACTGTCTAACTTAACTATCGCTAATCTGTTCGTTTGCTTGTAATAACATAGACATACTCATCCACTGCATGTGTAAGGAAGTTTATTTAGGTATATGTACAAATAAGTACAATTATCATACGTAGTGTAAATTACTTAGGATAACCCAAAAAAAAGCCAGACAACATGACTTATTTCCATTGGTGTCCTCGTAATATCTTGCATTCATTAAGTAACAAGAGTGTCCATGTGCCTGGCAGCCAGGTAACAAAAACTGTTAAAGGTTCTTAATATGACATGTCAGGTAGAAACCAGTGTAAATAAGTGACTTGACTTTTTTGGGTTATCCTGGTGAGTAATTTGCACTTGGTAAATTATGTGTACCTGTGCCTAAATAAACTTACTCTAGGTTAGGTTAGGTTAGGTTGAATTAGCTCTGCTTAGCTCTCATATTGTATTATTAAAATGTATATTGTGTTTAACCACACATGAGCTGAAAACAAATAAAAATAACTTGTAGTCATGCAGTCCATTATGGTTTCATATAGCACAGTGGATAGCATACTCTGCTCTCACCTGAGAGGATGTGGAGTCAAACTTCACTAAGATAAGAATGTGTTTGGGTTTTTAACCCCAGAGGGTTAGCCACCCAGGATAACCCAAGAAAGTCGGTGCATCATTGAGGACGGTCTGTCTTATTTCCATTGGGGTCTTTCAGTCTTGTCTCCCAGGATGAGACCCACACCAGTCAACTAACACCCAAGAACCTACTTGCTTGCTAGGTGAACAGGGACAGCAGGTGAAAGGAAACATGCCCAACATTTTCACCTTGCCAGGGGTAGAACCATGGACACTCAGTGTCCAGTGTATGAGGCAAGAGTGTTGCTAACTGAGCCACTAGGTACCATTGCTAATCTGGCCTGTTCAGTAAATTCAATAAATTGATGTTGTATTGCTCTAAAGATTCAAGAAAACTACAGTCAAAGCTTATTAACATTCATAAATAAAAAAGTAATAATCAAACATGCAGAAACATCAAGACTAGCCTACCTGTGAAAATCCAAACCGGAAGCTCCCGCTGTGTGGATTGTTCAGGGTGGTGCCATGATGCTGGTCCTGTAATCCAAGGGATTAGTGCTATCCTCACCTTCCTTTAATAAAACTTCCATTCCTCAGGAGCTTTATGATCAGTGGGTTTATAGTTTTCCCACGATGATCACTGTGGAAATGCTGTTCCCACACAATGAAAGACATCGTCCAGCCAGGAAGGTAATACTCTCCTGTCATATGAGTGTGAAAAAGAAGCCTCTTACCCATTTTCCACTCTGGCAGGATTGCTGACTTTTTCTTTGCCTCGTGAAAATGTAAGATGAGAGGTAAAGTCTTATAAATTTAAACTTAAGTACAGTATACACTTAAATTTAATTTCCTACAGGTAGTATCTGACCTGGTAATATTTTCTTTCCTTTAAACTGTGCTTATACTAACCAAGCATGGCCAGTTGAAAAAAAAATGGGAATTGTAGGTCAGAAGAAATATAATTTTGTATTCAGTAAGACTAATATTGAATGCATTCATTACTTGGCTTTAGTTGTATGTTGATAAATTTCTTATAGAAACTGTATATAAATTCTAAAGCAGACAATTTTGATTAGTTGGAAATGAAGAGATGTCTTTTTTCCATCCTCATTTGATATTTTTAAAGTTAACTTCAAATAATTTAGCTTAATCTTTCCCATTCTATCATAGTTCAGCTTATATGTAGTAGTGCTGCACCTAAATTCAATGAAGTATTGTTTATTAATTCTGATATACCTGGAGGAGTGTATCTGGAGGGGATTTCAGGGGTCAATGGCCATCCATGGCCTGGTCTGTGACCAGACCTCGTTGATACTTCTGGTAATTTTTATAAAATTATAGCAGCACATTTTTTTGCAACAAAGAATTTATAAGCCAAAATTGCAATCTTTGCTTGAAGCAAGAGCTTTAGTATGGCAAACATATCCCTGTCTTGTTTTGCCTTAATTTTTGCTCTTTTCACTTAGACGTTTCATTTTTTTTCTACTGTGCTTTTGTTTCATCAAATGTGCCTTTGAAAATCTAATACTACTCGGAAGTAATTGAAACGTTTAGAGGAAATTTTGTGGAAACCTGCATCAGGGAAGTGAACTTGGTGAGACAGTTGAGGCATCTGGTTTATATTAGAAGTTACACTAAAATAAATAGGACTTAATATACATCTGTACTAATTATGTTTACTAAAATGATTTTTGTACTCATTTATTTACAGTAGTAGACAAGAACTTATGACATTTAATACCCTGGAGGTCCTCTCTCTGTACACCACAATGATGGTCAAGCGGTACGTCAAGGACAATAAATTCTTTTGCGTAAGTCCTTAGTTATGACTATTGCTGTATTTTTTTTATTCCAATGGAGTTGAATGTCATTACAGTGTTGTACAGTGTGTGCATAAGTCAGTCAGTCAAGTAATGTCAGAATTCTTTTAAAGAATGGATGAGGCATTAGGACTGTAATATATCAGTGGTCTTTGTCAAGTATGTCTCAGAATATTAAGATAAGCTACATAACTTGTTTTTCAGTTTTTATATAATACATACATACAGTGGTATCTTGAGTTACGAACTTAATTCATTCCAGAAGGCTGTTCGAGTGCCGATACCAAATGAATTTTTTTCCCATAAGGAATAATGTAAACTAGATTAGTCCATTTCAGACCCCCAAAAATACACTTGCAATAGCACTTACAAAAATACACTTACATAATTGTTCGAGTTGGGAGCTGTACAAAATGCAAGGTACCACTGTACATGCATGCATGCATGCAGACATATACATTTACTCCTTGAAGTTTAAATATTGTGACAATAGGATTAGATTTTGTAAATGGATGGGTGCTGTACTGTATATCGTATAATTGTTTTTTCAGAATCATTTAATAGATTTCATCAAATTAATTGAAAACAACTTAGCAAAGTTGAAGATTGAGAAGAAGTGGTTTTTTGCCACCATCCGAGATCAAGCACGGCTCCATCATAATGAGGTATGTTTAAGAACTTTTATCTGCCAACTCTGTAGTGTATGTATAGTATATAGATTTTAGTAAGTTGAGTCCCATATTATACACATCACTTTAAGCAAGACTACTGTTCAATCTTATAGCTTTGGCAATTTAATTACCTTAATTACCCGGATAACATTCGAGGAAAATGCTACATTATGCTGTGTAGTAAGTTTATTTAGGCACAGGTATACATAAATGCAATGATCATACATAGTGTAAATTACCTAGAATAACCCCCAAAAATAGTCAGGCAAAGTGATATATTTCCATTGGGGTTACACAGTTGTCCTCAAAGATTTGTTAAGTTATACCATGAATTAAGGAAAGATCCTAGAATTCACCTTAGGAAAGCAGACAAAGCAAATGCAATAATAATTATGCAGGGCATTTTGGGCTTACCATAGGGGAAATATAAGCATGATATTAGGAGACAGGGAAACTCACATGCCTCTTAATTAAATAAAATATGAATTATCTGCTGCAATTTAAACTTCTTATTTTATTGTTTCACTTGGATAATAATTTTAATATAGTATGTATTACATAACTAATCTGTATAAAGGTAAACTGATTTCATTTACATAGAGTTTTCACTTATCAAACTGGTTGAATTCTGAAATAAAACACACCTAAAGTGAATCATGTTTTCTGTAGCCATACTATGCATTGTAGAAATTGAGATATGTCCCAGTGAAAAAAAATATTAGGCCTTAAAACACAAGAACAAAAATAAATTTTTGCATAGATATAAAATATATATAAGACTGCTAATAGAGGCACTGGGGATGGTTCAGATGGCTTCACTTTAATCCACAGTATAGAATGATTATATTAATAATTGTAAAGATACAGGGTATAGTAATGCAGAATGCCTTGTAGTACAGTACAGTGGAATCTTGGCACTCGAACTTAACTGGTTCCAGAAGGCTGTTTGAGTGCCGATCTGTTCGAGTACAGAATGAATTTTTCCCAACCAATTTTCTCTTTGGTTGGCTGTTATGACTAACCCTCTTAGGCCACATGGTGACTTATTTATACAAATAATATAATAAACACCAAAAAATGTGAAGAAACATGAAATAGTTTACAGCGAAGTTCTGGCAGGTCGTGTTTGTTTGGTCAAGTACCGATCAAACGGTCGACTACAGAGCAATTTGTTTACCAAACAAAGAATTCAAATACTTCGAGTATGGAACTGTTTGAGCACCGAGGTTCCACTGTATATATACAAAAATATAGTATGCTATATCAGTAAATCATAATTTGCTGTATACTGTAAAACTGGATTGTTTTATATCACTATACATGTATACTATGTTTATATGTATATAGCTAGTGTTTGAATTATGGTATTGAGTCTTTACTCTGTGTTTGAGTGGAAAATATAAGATTGTTATATACACATGGAAAACAAAAAAAAACTAATGGAACATTTTCATTGACTGTGTACAATATCCCTAGAACCTTTCTTTTATATATGGCACTGCCATATATTAGTTTTTTGCTCTCCATGTGCATATGACAATCTTATATTTTCCACTCAAAAATAGAGTAAAGACTCAATACCATAATTCAAACACTAGCTATATATGTACAGCACTGAATTGTTTTTGGCTGATACAGTACTTTACATCCATATCTTATACCTTTAGTTGAATTTTTAAATATCACCATAATGAAATATTTCTTGTGTAAGATGTGATATTCACACAAAAAGTCTTAAGCAGTTTATAAGCAGTAGCACCAATGGAAATCTTTAATAATCTTATAAAATCATTGAGTCGATGGGTGTTAGTAAAATAATATAAATTTAGTAGTGGTGTCATCTTTTGGTAAGATGTTTGATCAAAGAGTCTTCACCTTTCAAGAGTTTCTTTTTTAGATTTTTGAAGTTACAGATATTAGTAAAAAATTTCAGAGAATACTTCCATAGGAGCTAAATAAATATTTTATGGTTGTCATCAATAAATGCTTCAATTTTTCTCCTAATATTACAGTCTCTTCTTTTACAAACACTAACACATTTGTCAGCTCTAGGAGTGATAAGTCCCTTATTTTTAAGTGTATAGACTTTTCATTCCTGTGTACTACTATTAAGAACAACAAGGCATCATTGCTACAGTGTGTTATATTGATTTCAGTGGGATGAGTATGTGGACGGCGTGAATGAAGGTCGTATGCAATACAACTGTACCCTCCTGCTTGTGGCCCTGTTGTTGGGAATGGAGAAGGTATGGGTGTCAGATGGATGCTTACCATTTGATGATAACAAGACAGTTACCTTGATAAAATTAATATTTGAGAATGCTCAACCAAGTTTTGCCCTCAAGCAACTCAGCCAAACTGATCCCATGTTTGAGTTCTTGGCCAGTCACTCACCCTACCTGGAAGTTCTTCATCTACCTCACAGTGATGTTTCCTCATTCCAAAGTTGTGTCAAATTTGAGTAAGTTTGTTCTATCATTGTTTTGCTTTTAAGACCCCACAGTTTACAGATATACTGCAGTAAACATTGAAAATAAATGAAACAAAAGTATAATTTTCACAATGGAGTTTGTTATTTCAGATTACTTTTATATCAAAGTAACAATCAAATTTTATTTCCATATGATACATTGTTTATTCAGAAATGGCTGACATTTGATTACATGTAAAAGGTCCATGGTTATGCAGGGCATTTCGGACAAAGGCAAGGGTTTATTGTACATATAGTAGGTAAACCCTGAACCGAATTTGCATGAAAAAAGACGCTCTGGCAAAATGGAAACCTTTATGTAGACTGTTTTGCTTGGAGACAAAGCGAGTCGAGTTGGAAGGGCAGGTGATGAGAACCTGATTAATATCAAGTCTGGAGAGTGGTGTGTGCTGAGGAGCATACCAGTCAGAGGTCGTGCTGTCTGGCAACTTCCCCAGTTCTTGCTTCTAAATTGACATAGATTGAGGAGATAGAAATAGATAGAGCAGGTTTTGTGTGCGAGGGGCTTGGACTTCCAGCAAGCGTGCGTGAACGTGTTAGGAGCGAATGGAGACAAATGGTTTTTAGGACTTGACGTGCTGTTGGAGTGTAAACAAGGTAACATTTATGAAGGGATTCAGGGAAACTGGCAGGCCGGACTTGAGTCCTGGAGGTGGGAAGTACAGTGCCTGCACTCTGAAGGAGGGGTGTTAATGTTGCAGTTTTATAACTGTAGTGTAAGCACATCTCTGGCAAGACAGTGATGGAATGAATGATGATGAAAGTTTTTCTTTTTCAGGCCACCCTGCCTTGGTGGGAAACAGCCGATGTGTTAATAAAAAATATGATACAAGAGAACAAATATCATATGAATTCATTATTTACTTATGTCACTGCAACAAGAGTTTCAGCCAGCCAAGAAAAAAATAAAAAAATAAAACCTATGTACCTGGAGATTTGTATTATGTGTGCAGTTATAATCATGATAATTTAATGATGCTCCTCATTAGAAAATAAATCACTTTATGAAGTCTTCTTGCAGGAACCTACGTGTGATTGAACTCGCTGGCGGAGTGTCAGATAAGGTGATGTGTAATGCCCTCTGGAACATCAGCAAGAGGAGTGATAAAGTGTTGGACATGGTGATCAAGATGCCCATGGTTAGTAGCTGGAGTGTTTAATAATAATTTACCCCTCCATGATCTTATTCCCCTGGCTTCCCTTCACTCACTCCTACTTCCTCTCCCCTCCTCTACCCACTCCCTTACCTATCCCTCTCCCATCCCCCCACTCCTTATCTATTCCTCTCCCTTCTCCCACTTTACCTCCTAAACTTCCCCTTCCTTCCTTCTTTCCTTCCTTCCTTCCTTACTCCCTATTACAAAAAAAGTATTTTTAAGATGGTAGTTTACTCATTTTGTAATAAAAAGTTCGGGATACATATATACACATTAAAATAAAGTAATCTTTAATATTATATAAAAAACAATCTTTGGTCTAGAGGTATTTAAACTAATAAACATCTGATAATATATACATGTTACAATAATAAATTATAATTAGCATCTAACTAAAATAATAAATAATAATTCGTAACCCTACACACAGGGTACAACTTCTTGACACTACTGTGTCACTATATATATATCTATGCTAAAATAATAAATTATAAATAACATTTGTACACTAATAAATTACAGTCAACTCCGTGTCTCACGACACCCTAATGACGCTCCGTGTCACACGACACTTATCCGAGTTGTGACGCTCCCTGTGTCTCACACGACACTTATCCGTGTAATGACGCTCCATCTAAACTGTGTCTCTTGACACCCTTTTCTCTGCGTAATGACGCTCCTACTCTCCGTGTCACACGACACCCTTTTCTCTGCGTCATACACTACTGTGTCACCCTTGACACCCAGCGACACACTCACACAGCGTCTTTTTCGAGGCCAGTCACATGACACTATTCAATGTACACTACAACCGTAACTTCTTTAGTGTCACACGACACCCTTTTCTTCTCAGTGTTCCACTACGGTCCTATAGCATATCTCAGTGTTCCACTACGGTCCTATAGCATATCTCAGTGTTCCACTACGGTCCTATAGCATATCTCAGTGTTACACTCCATCATACTTGCTTAAGTGTCACACTACGGTCCTAGCCCAGTTCAGTGTCAAACTCCAACCTTTTCTTCACGTAATGTCCCACTAAAACAGCATCCAATGACTCCAGCCCACAGTTGACCAGCATAGGCGGTGAGTCCGCAGACATCACCTGTCCTGTAAATACTCTCCAAGGCCGGTAGAAGTACACCGTAAGATGGTCTGGTGAGTACTATCTACCGCCTTCAAGACCAGTTGATAAATAGTGTTTGTAGAACACCATGCTGCAAGCTCACTGAGTGCGGCTGTCAAGTAACTGAGGCCAACAGACTCAGTGAGCTGCGGTGAGCGCTTCCTCTAACGCCAGTAGATATATATAATAAGACGGTCAGACGAATACTCTACTGCCAGTAGATGTCTACCATAAGGTGTTCTGGTAGTTACTGCTTAGATGCGTACCGTGAGGTGTTCAGGTACTTACTGCCTCTAAAGCTGGCTCAGCAGTCCCCACATTGGGTTTGATGACGTACCCATGGTACTGCCGGCCGGCAGGTTAACAATTTAACCGCTAGTTTGGTAGGGGGCCGTAACACTCCCTTTACCTTCATTACGTCCCATACCTTCCATATTTCCCCTACCTTCCATACTTCCCCTACCTTCCATTCTCCTACCTCTATCTTGCCTTTTTCCCTCAAGGGAGGTTCCTTGACATTGGTGAGGGGCTCTTGATATAGGAATTGGATCTGTGCTTCAGTTCCCTGAATTAAGCCTGAATATCTTCCACATCCCCCCACAGGCGCTGTATAATTCTCCGGGTTTAGCGCTTCCCCCTTGATTATAATAATAATAATATATCTTGCCTTTCCCTCTACCTCACCTACTCCTCTACCTTCCCTACTCCTCATATTCCCTCTCTCTCCCCTACTTTTCCTATCTTCCCACTCTCCCTTACCCCCTGGTATTAACACTGATGAGAAAAATGGTTATAGAGTCACAATGATGGTACAGGTGTCAAAAATTGAGAGATGGGGCCAAGAGCTGGAGCTTGCCTACCCCTACAAACTCAAATAGGCAGTTACAGGTAAGAATTAGGTAGGCTGTGATGGATATGTGGGGCAGTGGGCTGCTGCCAACAGTTAATCAGGCAATGAACAAAGATGCCTGGCTGTGGTCTGGTTCATGAGATTAGGAAAAGTTCTGAAACAGGCCACAGGTAAATCAGTCTTAATGATAATATTGGAAATAATCTATACTTACAAGGGTTTACTGTAGTTAATTACTATTAACTACAGTAAACCCTTAATTTACTGAACTAATAGGGTTGAGTGGGTGGCCGGTAATGATGTTTGTGATGTATAGAGATGAGATTTGCTATGGTTGTAGCAATAATGGACAATACTGTAATCACCAGACTTAGTCCATTACAGTATTTCGAAATTGAAGAATGCAGTAGATTTTGTCCCATATTTAAAAAGTCTGTTAAGTTAGGGTGCATTAAATCAAGGGTTTACCATATTTAAGTTTAAGTTGAGCTCTTGGTTGTGGGTTTGCCACTGTGATGTGTTGTCATGTACGAATTTATCTTAGGAACTTATACATACTATATAGTTTTTTATACTTTGTCTTAATTATTCAGGTATACTCTTATGTTTAATGTACAGTAAGTCCTCAACTTACAAATGTGTTGAGAATCTTCTGTATTGTGTTAAATGTCATTTTTAAATCATTATTATACGCAATACGAAGGTCCCTGTGTTCGTAAGTTGAAGACTTCCTGTATTATGAATATTATACACAGTTCAGAAGGTTCCCAATGTGTTTGTAAGTTGAGGACTTAATGTAATTAAAAATATTATAATTTATCTTTGTTTTAGTTATTCAGGTCCTGCATATTCTGTGTTTAATGCAATAAAAAATTGTATAAAATGTTATTAAAAATGTTAGGTGTGGAATGTTAAAATTATGAGATCTGTGAGAGAGATATTCAACTTCATCTTTTAACATAAATGCTTGCATAACTTGACAATGGAATTTCAGGAATTTTTACAAGAAAACCAGTCACTACAAAGACTCTTAAATCTCATCATTGAACAGTCTGGGAAAATTGACAAATTAAGAGCAGAAACTCAGCAGAAATTAGATGACCTTACAAAGCTTAAATTGTGTGTTGCCCGAAGCAAGCGGAACCAACGATGTGAAAAAGACGTTCCCGATTTAACAAATATGAAAAGGCATCTTGAGCAATGCTGTTCTTCCCACCTAAAAGATCAGTTGGAAAATCTTCAGACTAGGATAGAAGTTCAGACAAGGTGCTTAAATACCAAATGCCAAAATGCAGTGTTCAGTAGAGTGATCCCAAGAGAAGAAACACATTCACCATCATTTATTTAACCCCTTGACTGTCGCAACCCCAAGTCCTGAGGTGTCTCCTGGTGTCGCAAAATTTAAAAAAAAAAAAAATTTCTTATGAAATGATAGAGAATCTTTTCCCAATTGTAATGACACCAAAAGAACGAAATTTGATGGAGAACTGATGGAATTACGCTCTCGCGAAGTTAGCGACCTCGGCGATATTTACGAATCGGTGATTTCACCCACTTTGAGCCCTATTTTCGGCTAATTCCATTGTTCCAGTCGACCATAGCTATTTCTTTAGAACTCCATTTTTTCTATCGATTAAGTACAAGAAACTGCCCATTTACCGATTTCAACTACCCAGTAACGTGATCAGAAATTTGCAATTTGGCCAATTTCACGAAAATTAAAAAATATGACAATTTCAAAATAGAGCCCAGAATGAACAATGCAGACATTCCTGGCTCTAAAATAACATTTTCTTTGTTCATCAGTCACGTCTCCAGGCCCCTCTGATATTACTCTTGCTTTCTATTTTTAATTTTTATTCAAACAAAAAATAGAAGATTTACTGTTATGCAGACTACTGCAATTTTGTAATAATTGTATAAATAATGTCAACCCATTCATGACTGCATATTAGAATGGCTACTTGGACATTTATTGGAAAATGACATCATTTGTTTACTTTTGAACATCTGCAAAAATCAAACATTTCCCATATTTTGAGCTCCATTTCAAGGTTCTTTTCATAGTAAAACCAATCAAAATCACCTCTATTTCTATGATATGTTTTCCATTCTATCAAATGAGACCAAGAAAACGAGAATACAACCATAAATACTATACGAAAATAGACCACAAAGTCGGCATTTTAATTAAAAAAAAACGGTCGGAGTTTTTTCCTCATTATGCACTGCGTGCTGCAGGATTTTTTTTATATGGTGCACACTGACCACACAGACCCATTCTCTCACATGTAGGCCTACCAGCTTTCTCTTGCTTGATTTGAAGCCGCTAGAATTTGAGTATATTTACGTCAAACATAGTGGCTCATAAGACTTACATATACAGTTCGATCGAAACAGTCAAGGGGTTAATAGTTGTCTTTCCAGAAATGCTCTAACATCACATTTCAAATGACACTCCACACCGCAACACCCATGTGATATCTTAGATATTCTTTTATTTATAATTAAACCTTTTTTTTTTTTTTAGCATACCAGCCGTCTCCCACCAAGGCAGGGAGACCCAAAAAAGAAGCACTTTCACCATCATTTACACTGTCGCACTGTCTTGCCAGAGGTACACAGATATGACAATTTACAGTCATTTTTGTTTCTTCAGGAAATAGATGGATGGCATTTGTCTCTACCTCACCTAGAGGTGCTAAGGACCAACATGCTGCAGTGCCCTGTCCAGACTAATGCCATGCGTCTGTCTCTGGGTGCTGCTGCTCTGGCCATACAACCCAGTCTTAAGATTGTGGAAACCCTGCAGTCGTGGGACACTTATGGTGCTGTCCTCTACCTCCTTGATCGGGAAGCCAAACAGAGGGTACAGTAGTTGTGTGTTGACTGCCTTATCTCCATTCTTATTTATATCCTCTTTCCCTTGTTTTTTTATCACTGACATAGTGTTATACATAACAATCTTTATTCTTAAATTTCTTACCTCCATATCTGCTGTAACAAGATTGATTACTTATTTTCTTATCTCCTTGTAACTTAATTTATCTCGAACATTTATTTCAATGAGTTATTCCATTTTAATGTGTATTTAATTTTATTCTGCCTGAATTGCAGTGGATAACTATTACTTGTATTTTACCATATCCTTAGAAATCAAATGGCATTGATTGCAATGATGAACGGAAATTGAATGTCACAAGCTTGACTGTGAACTATGAGAAGAACCTAGACATGGAGGAATTAAAGCGGGTGATGCAAGCCTGCCCAAAGCTGTCCCATCTAACTATCAACAATGCTGAAAATATTCAACCAGATTTGGCTCTCTTGTGTGAAGTAAGTGCAGTTATGTAAGAGAAATTGTTTCATCATGAATATTTCCTTGCAGATGGTAGCAGGTTTAGGCAAAGATGGTATAGCACAGTGTTGTGTAATTACAGTACTTACTGTGTTTGTATTTACATCTCCATGGGCAATCCTTCCTCTGTAAGCTATGCATGTAATAAGAGGTGAATAAAATGTTGGGAGCAAGTGGCTAGTGATCCCTCCTGTATAGGTGATTAAATGTAAAAAGAAAAACTTTTCATTTTCCTTTTTTAGGTCACCCTGCCTCGGTGGGAGATGGTGGTAGGTTAAAAAAATAACAATAATGGCACTGAAAATAATACTGCGTATCAAGGGAAACTGGTTAGCCAGACTTGAGTCCTGGAAGTGAGAGGTACAATGCCTGCACTCAGACGGAGGGATAGGGATATTTTCAGTGTCATCTGAACTGTAGTGTCTGCATGCCTCTGGCAAGACAGTGATGGAGTGAATGATGGTGAAAGTGTTTTTTGGGTCGCCCTACCTTGGTGAAAGATGCCCCAATAAATAATGGCCAAGAAAATAAATAATGATTATGAAAGTATCTATTAATATTCATAAAGAAAATACACAAATTACATTTTAAGATTTAACAGAAATGTACATACATGTACATTTATTATGTAATCAGACAAAAGTTTGGTTGTGATACCTTGGAACAGTTATTATTTCACTTTGTTTAATTTGATTCTGTGTTACTTCACAGATCATACCAGTGAAGCAAGTGAAGAATCTGACCGTGGATGTCTCCAAGTTAACAAACCTAGAGCTGACAGTACTACTGGCAGAGATGAGCAGTTTAGAACACTTGACCCTCAAGCTCACTCCTCAGGCAATTGTTAAATTTAATGTTCCCATTGAAGGAGAGACCAGGGTCAGTATTACTACTGTTGCATGAAGGGTAAAAAGCCACAGTACCATGGCTGAAACAATTCACAGATAATCTGTATTTTGTAGGGAAAACATGTGATGATATTTTGGTCCATCCTGAACCATTGTTGAGTCATAAGTCACACACTTGTGACTTGACAGTCATCTAGGACAGAATAAATAGTCGTCATACGTTTCCTCTCCTAAGTGTGGATTATTTTTGAACTCCTGTTGCATTTTATCTTTAATAAAGCCTTTACAATCATCTCTTTTATTACTTTTTATGGACTGTCATTTCTTTTTCAATAAAATTGCAGCAAACTGTTATCAAATATTTGTGCCACTTCACTGTTATCAAATATATGTGACTCTTCACTAAAATATCTGGGAAAGTTTTGGCATATGATGTCAGTTTAACAATAGTAGTAATATTTTAGCGATACAATATTTATACACAGATAGGTGACATTTAATTGTGTATTCAGAAAGCCTATAGTTATGCAGAACATTTCGGCCATACTTTATATGTTGCAAGTGCATATTTTAAGATAGTTACATTAGTGTATTGATTTTGCATTAGCAGTTTAAAATGATTGTGTGTACAGTAACTGTTTGTCAAAAAAAAAACCCAAAATGAGAATCTTTATTTCTTAGAAACATACATAGAAGTCATATTGGTTGGGTTTATGGTTTATTTATTTACCTATTTTGACAGTTAGTTTGATAAAATTAGATGTTCAGAAGAAAAGCATTTATTATGTAGATCATTTCTGCCAAACTAATTCTAAAACTTACATATTACTTAATTCTAGGCCTAGTATAGATTTTAGGTATTGTGGTCCTTGATTTATGATGGTTCAACTTATGATACTTCAGCTTTATGATAGTGCACTAGCGATGCATTTTAACATCCTTAACGCCATCAGGAACATTGCTGCAGCATGGAAAGAAGTCATTTATTGACTTTTCAATATTGGTATATAGTTAGTTACAGTAATTATTTGTTTATTTACTTATCCAGGGACAGTATGTATTTATTTACTTATTTGTCATATCATATAGAGTACTTAGCGACGTACTCGTTTACCAACGACTTGGACTTACGATGGGCTCTGACCATTGTGCATACCTAAATAATGTATATTAGAGCTGATTTCCTCTATTCTGTTATTACAATATACAGTACACTACTGTATAAACATTTAAAAATATACTAAAAATGTTATAAATGGTACAAAGGTGACATTAAAACAGTATCAGAGATGGTTGATACAAACCCACTATCATTATAGTATGCTCCTTGCTTAGTGACAAATTTGTTTACCGACGTGGTCTTGGGAACAGAACTCTGTCGTTAAGTGAGGAGAGGCTGTATTCATATTTAACCTATGATATTTTCAGCTGACGATGGCTTCATTGGAACATAATGCCATTGTAAGCCTGTACTTAAAATTCAAATTTTTTTTCATCCAAGTATGCTCCCCTTTTCTTTTTCCTGATTTTACTTTTGGCTGTCTCAAGACACAATTTTATTAAATTTGCTCTCAAAGGAAAAGTGCTTAAAAAATCCTCATTCATTTTTTGGGATTAATCTCTTCTCTGCTCAATAGCTTTATTATTAATTTAAACATAATTTCTTTTTTGTATAGTTGTGAAAATTGTTATAACCTTGTTTGATTTCAGAAGGCCATGCTACCTGCAGTTAAAACACTACAAATTGAATTTCTCTCCACTGGTGTGGACAGCCTTACTTCTTTAAACAACTTTCTGGCAAAAGACATGATGAGCTTCCTGTCAACATTCAAATATGTCAAGGAACTTTACTTCCACAACACATTGTTTGTTCCACCTTCATATGTGGTAAGTCGAGATGATTTGTGTGCACTTCCACAACAGTGTTTCCAGCGCTGTATCTTGTCCTGTTCTTGCATTAACCTTTATTTTTACTTTAATTAGTGTTCATTTTATAGAGCCTGTACATAGGAGAAAGAAACTAATGACGATGTTTCAGCCTGATTTGAACCATTAACAAGTTACACGTGTGTCTTGTTAATCCTTACAGGGCCGGAACCCCTGATCTCAAACTTGCTCTCAGGGTCGGAACCCCTGATCTCAAACTTGCTCTCAGGGTTGGAACCCCTGATCTGAAACTTGCTCTCAGGCTCGGAACCCCTGATCTCAAACTTGCTCTCAGGGTTGGAACCCCTGTTCTGAAACTTGCTCTCAGGCTCGGAACCCCTGACCTAGGGATTGGCAGAGAGCATGCATAGTTCCTTTGTATAAAGGCAAAGGGGACAAAAGAGAGTGCAAAAATTATAGGGGGATAAGTCTGTTGAGTATACCTGGTAAAGTGTATGGTAGAATTATTATTGAAAGAATTAAGAGTAAGACGGAGAATAGGATAGCAGATGAACAAGGAGGCTTTAGGAAAGGTAGGGGGTGTGCGGACCAGGTGTTTACAGTGAAACATATAAGTGAACAGTATTTAGATAAGGCTAAAGAGGTCTTTGTGGCATTTATGGATTTGGAAAAGGCATATGACAGGGTGGATAGGGGGGCAATGTGGCAGATGTTGCAGGTGTATGGTGTAGGAGGTAGGTTACTGAAAGCAGTGAAGAGTTTTTACGAGGATAGTGAGGCTCAAGTTAGAGTATGTAGGAAAGAGGGAAATTATTTCCCAGTAAAAGTAGGCCTTAGACAAGGATGTGTGATGTCACCGTGGTTGTTTAATATATTTATAGATGGGGTTGTAAGAGAAGTAAATGCGAGGGTCTTGGCAAGAGGCGTGGAGTTAAAAGAAAAAGAATCACACATAAAGTGGGAGTTGTCACAGTTGCTCTTTGCTGATGACACTGTGCTCTTGGGAGATTCTGAAGAGAAGCTGCAGAGATTGGTGGATGAATTTGATAGGGTGTGCAAAAGAAGAAAATTAAAAGTGAATACAGGAAAGAGTAAGGTAATGAGGATAAAAAGATTAGGTGATGAAAGATTGGATATCAGATTGGAGGGAGAGAGTATGGAGGAGGTGAATGTATTCAGATATTTGGGAGTGGACGTGTCAGCAGATGGGTCTATGAAAGATGAGGTGAATCATAGAATTGATGAGGGGAAAAGGGTGAGTGGTGCACTTAGGAGTCTGTGGAGACAAAGAACTTTGTCCTTGGAGGCAAAGAGGGGACTGTATGAGAGTATAGTTTTACCAACGCTCTTATATGGGTGTGAAGCATGGGTGATGAATGTTGCAGCGAGGAGAAGGCTGGAGGCAGTGGAGATGTCATGTCTGAGGGCAATGTGTGGTGTGAATATAATGCAGAGAATTCGTAGTTTGGAAGTTAGGAGGAGGTGCAGGATTACCAAAACTGTTGTCCAGAGGGCTGAGGAAGGAAGGCGAGGTAGGGGTTGGCCTAGGAAAGGTTGGAGGGAGGGGGTAAAGGAGGTTTTGTGTGCGAGGGGCTTGGACTTCCAGCAGGCATGCGTGAGCGTGTTTGATAGGAGTGAATGGAGACAAATGGTTTTTAATACTTGACGTGCTGTTGGAGTGTGGGCAAAGTAACATTTATGAAGGGGTTCAGGGAAACCGGCAGGCCGGACTTGAGTCCTGGAGATGGGAAGTACAGTGCCTGCACTCTGAAGGAGGGGTGTTAATGTTGCAGTTTAAAAACTGTAGTGTAAAGCACCCTTCTGGCAAGACAGTGATGGAGTGAATGATGGTGAAAGTTTTTCTTTTTCAAGCCACCCTGCCTTGGTGGGAATCGGCCAGTGTGATAATAATAAAATAATAATATTTTTTAACATGTTAGTCGTCTCCCGCCCAGGCAGGGTGACCGAAAAAGAAAATCCCTAAAACAAAAATACTTTCATCATCATTCAACACTTTCACCTCACTCATACATAATCACTGTCTTTGCAGAGGTGTTCAGATATGACAGTTTAAAAGTCAGCCTCCAAACTGCCAATATCTTCTTCTGAAGATAATGAAACCAAAAGTACAAAATTTGATGGAAAACTTAACAGAATTATGCTCTTGCAAAGTTAGTGGTCTTGGCGATATTTTTGCACCTGTGATTTCTCCCACTTTGAGCCCTGTTTTTGGCTAATTCTATTGTTCCAGTTAACCAAACTCATAGCTGTTTCACTAGTATTCCTTCTATTTTTTAGACTGAATACGAGAAACTGCCCATTTACCTGTTTCAACTACCCAATAAAGTGTTCAGAAATAGATAATTTAGCCAATTTCAACTAAAATTCCAAAAGTGCCAATTTCAAAATAGGGTCCAGAATAAACAATGTAACATTCCTGGCAATAAAACAACATTTCCTCTGTTCATTACTCATGTCCTCAGGCCTCTCCTATATTACAATTGCCTTCCATTTTGAATCTTTATTCACACAGAAAATAGAAGATTTACTGTTATGCAGAATACTGCATTATTGTAATAATTGTATAAATAGCATCATTACATTCATGGATGCATATTAGACCGACCAATTGGATAAGTATTGGATGAGTGATATTGTAATTTGTGTACTCTGGAATATCAGCAAAAATCAAACATTTCCATTATGAGCTCAATTTCAATCTACTTTCAGTCCTGAAACCAAACACAGTTATGTCTATTTATGTAATATATCTTCCTTTCTATCAAATGAGACCAAGAAACTGAGAATACAACCATAAAAACCACACGAAAAATGCGGCAAAGTTGCTGTTTTAAACCTAAAACACGGTCCAAGTTTTTTTCCCATTATGTACTGTGTGCTGCAGGATTTTTTTTATATGGTGCACACTTACTGCATAAACCCATTTTCTCATATCTATGCCCAAATTTACTGCTCACAGTTTATCTGAGTGAACCGAGCTCATGGTGTAGAACAATGGAACCCGCCCCAGAAGGGCTAATGTTCCAAGTCAGAATGAAACATTGTTATGAGCTTCTCTCTCCTACATGTGGGTTATTTGTGTATTGTTCCTATCAAGGTATTGTGCCTTTCCTATCAAGGTATTGTGCCTTTCCTATCAAGGTATTGTGCCTTTCCTATCAAGGTATTGTGCCTTTCCTATCAAGGTATTGTGCCTTTCCTATCAAGGTATTGTGCCTTTCCTATCAAGGTATTGTGCCTTTCCTATCAAGGTATTGTGGCCTTTCCTATCAAGGTATTGTGCCTTTCCTATCAAGGTATTGTGCCTTTCCTATCAAGGTATTGTGCCTTTCCTATCAAGGTATTGTGCCTTTCCTATCAAGGTATTGTGCCTTTCCTATCAAGGTATTGTGCCTTTCCTATCAAGGTATTGTGCCTTTCCTATCAAGGTATTGTGCCTTTCCTATCAAGGTATTGTGCCTTTCCTATCAAGGTATTGTGCCTTTCCTATCAAGGTATTGTGCCTTTCCTATCAAGGTATTGTGCCTTTCCTATCAAGGTATTGTGCCTTTCCTATCAAGGTATTGTGCCTTTCCTATCAAGGTATTGTGCCTTTCCTATCAAGGTATTGTGCCTTTCCTATCAAGGTATTGTGCCTTTCCTATCAAGGTATTGTGCCTTTCCTATCAAGGTATTGTGCCTTTCCTATCAAGGTATTGTGCCTTTCCTATCAAGGTATTGTGCCTTTTCATTCTTTATTGTTCATTTTGAGTTTCATGCAACAAATGAACTAAAAATGGGCATTCAGCTTGATTTTAAACAGTATCTTTAAACATTGCTGTAAACCGGCTTATACATGTATTAACATTCATAAGAAAAACTTGGCTAAGAGAAAGAGAATTAGGCATGGGAATTTCAGTGAGCATATTTTTGAATAGAATCTTAGTTATATTTTATTTTCAAATGTTATGTATTAAGGGAAAAATTTGACAGCGAATGATGAATGAAGGTTAAGAGTGCACACAGACAGTAACAAACAAGGCAGGCAGTGAGCAATGAAAAAAAAAGACAGCTCCTTTATTGAACATTTGTCTGATGCAGCAGACTTACTCTGCTGCATCGATGACACTACCAGACACCTACGCACAGCAGACTTTCAGATATTTTGTCCATTGTATCCAAAACCTTTTGTATAGGGCTCTGTTATTTAACCCTTTCAGGGTTGAGAGGCCCTCTCCTAAACTTGTTCTCAGTGTTGAAAATTTTTCGGAAAAAAACCAAAAAATAATTTTTTCTTATGAAAAGATAGAGAATCTTTTCCCGATCATAATGACACCAAAAGTATGAAATTTGATGGAAAAACTTAGGGAATTATGCTCTCACAAAGTTATCGGTCTCGACAATGTTTACGCATCAGCGATTTCACCCACCTTAAGCCCTATTTTCGGCCAGTTCCAATGTACTAATCGACAAAAGTCATAGCTATTTCGCTAGAACTCCATTTTTTCTATTGAATGAGTACAAGAAACCACCCATTTACCAATTTCAACTATCCAATAAAGTGGTCAGAAATTAGCAATTTTGCCAATTTCACACAAATTTCAAAAGATGCCAATTTCCAAATAGGATCCAGAATAAACAAGACAGACATTCCTGGCACTAAAATAACATTTTTCTCTGATCATTAGTCACGTCCCCAGGCCCCTCTTACATTTCTTTTGCTTTCCACTTTGAATTCTTATTCTCACAAAATATAGAAGATTTACTGTTATGCAGGTTACTGCATTAGCATAGAAATAGTATAAATAATATCAGCACACTTGTGAAAGAATATTAGACTCACCAGTTGATGTGTATTGGATGCGTGGCACGATTTGTTTACTTTTGAACTTTGGCAAAAATCGAACATTTCTGCTACCTTGAGCTAAATTTCAAGGTACTTTTCATTGTGAAACCAATCAAAATCATCTCAATTTCTGTAATACGTCTTCCATTCTATAAAATGTGACCAGGAAAACTAGAATACAACCATAAATATCATACGAAAATACAGTGCAAAGTCGCTGTTTTAAACCAAAAACACGGTCAAAGTTTTTTTTTCTCATTATGCATTGTGTGCTTCAGGATTTTTTTTATACTGCACACACTGACCACATAGACCCATTCTTTCATATGTAGGCCTACCAGCTTTCTCTTGCTAGATTTGAAGGCGCTAGAATTTAGGTGTACTAGTACGTCAATAACCCTGGTGTGTAAGCCGTACTAGTACGTCAGAAACCCTGAAAGGGTTAAATTTTAGAGTATTTGGATTATTGTAACAGTTATTTAATTAGCCTATTTTTTATTTTCTATGAATACAGTTTCTGGAGTGTTATGTGCTTCCTCAGGTGTATGGATGTATTGGAGGATCATTGACCATGTTTAATAAACTGCGGCACCTGTCTGTTATTTCCTGTGATGACACGCCAAGAGAGGCTGTCATGATGCTTCAGGATACAGTTACATCGCGCCATCACAGGGGAGTTCCTCGCATGCTGGCTGATCTTCAGGTAATTGATGGGTGCTGTATGCATCATGTATTCAAAATTTGTTATACAGCTTGCTGTAGTGTAACTCTCAAAATTGTCCTGCTCCTCTGCACGAAAGTGTCTTAGGAATATGATTTCCATAGCGGTAAGAGAGGGCTATTTATAGTGGCCAACAGTAAGCCACTAATTACTAAGAAATCTTCTGATTTATGTCTTCAATGCATGAAGGTCTCTGAAATGTCTAAGAGGAGATACTGGCTTAGGCTGCTTTTTTCTCTCCATCTTAAGATAGGAAAGTTTACTGTAGATTGGAGCTGAGCATACATCAAGGCTCAGGGAGTGACCACCTCATATCTACATATACACTACTTCTGATGTTTCTTCTGTATTTTAACTGAAGAAGCCTGCTAAGATGGCAAAAGTCTCATCAGTAAAGATACCAGACTGCTGCACATGTGTCTTACTCATCTATTTTTGGTATTATTCATAGTGCCCATCTGGTTGGCTAATACTTTTTTGGTAAAATAAGTAATGTGGCTCTTTTTTTCTAGTTTAATATTGTATATGGATTATGAGTGAATTTTTATATTTTTTCCTCATTTGCTTTTATTTTTATTTTTTATTTTCAACAAGTCGGCCGTCTCCCACCTAGGCAGGGTGACCCAAAAAGAAAGAAAATCCCCAAAACAAAAATGCTTTCATCATCATTCAACACTTTCACCTCACTCATACATAATCACTGTTTTTGCAGAGATGCTCAGAACACAACAGTTTAGAAGCATATGTAAAGATACAATATAAAAAGTGACCTGAAATAATATAAAATAAACCATATAGAATATAATATCAGGGCCACAATTATATATATATACCGTCCTATTACACGTCCCTCCAAACTGCCAATATCCCGAACCCCTCCTTTAGAGTGCAGGCATTGTACTTCCCATTTCCAGAACTCAAGTCCGGCTATGTAAAAATAACCGGTTTCCCTGAATCTTTTCACTAAATATTACCCTGCTCACACTCCAACAGCTCGTCAGGTCCAAAAAACCATTCGTCTCCATTTACATACTTCTATCTAACATGCTCATGCATGCTTGCTGGAAGTCCAAGCCCCTTGCTCACAAAACCTCCTTTACCCCCTCCCTCCAACCTTTTTGAGGACGACCCCTACCCCGCCTTCCTTCCCCTACAGATTTATATGCTCTCCATGTCATTCTACTTTGATGCATTCTGTCTAAATGACCAAACCACCTCAACAACCCTTCTTCAGCCCTCTGACTAACACTGTTATTAACTCCACACCTTCTCCTAATTTCCACACTTTGAATTGTCTGCATAATATTTACACCACACATTGCCCTTAGACAGGACATCTCCGCTACCTCCAACCGCCTGCTCGCTGCAGCATTTACAACCCAAGCTTCACACCCATATAAGAGTGTTGGTACCACTATACTTTCATACATTCCCTTCTTTGCCTCCACTGATAACGTTTTTTGTCTCCACATATATTTGCTTTTCAACCTAAATAAAAAAAAATGTGAAATTTGAAGTCAGAATAAAATTTGTGTTTTCCATGTCATTCCTTAAACTGTGGGAGATCCCAGAAATGAATGATGCTGTGTGTGTAACGAAATTTGGGAAAATAATGAAATATTTTTTAATACCATTTTAAAGAGTTTATTTTTCTAAGAATAAAACAAAAAAATTAAATCTGATAAAGTGGAGACGAATGGTATTTGGGACCTGATGAGCTGTTGGAGTGTGAGCAGGGTAATATTTAGTGAAGGGATTCAGGGAAACTGGTTATTTTTATATAGTCAGACTTGAGTCCTGGAAATGGGAAGTACAATGTTGCCTGCACTTTAAAGGAGGGGTTTGGGATATTGGCAGTTTGGAGGGATATGTTGTGTATCTTCATATGTATATGCTTCTAAACTGTTGTATTCTGAGCACCTCTGCAAAAACAGTGATTATGTATGAGTGAGGTGAAAGTGTTGAATGATGATGAAAGTATTTTCTTTTTGGGTGGGTCACCCTGCCTCGGTAGGAGATGGCCGACTTGTTAAAAAAAAAAAAAAAGCTAATTAATTATGGAATGTCAAAGTTGGCAGAAAAAGTCACTCATCTCCAGCATCAGCATAAATGCACACAGCAGTATTTTTTTTCGTATTTATTTATGCCATGTTATGATAGTTTAGTAAAAACAAAATTCAAGTGTTTAAATCAAATACTGTATTTCACAGCTTATTAGGCACATTTTTTTTCAATAAATTATCTCCAAAAACCACCCTGCATCCTATAAACTGAAGGTCAGTGATGGGAACTATAAGTTTGGGTGTGGGGTGGGCTGTAGCTCTCCCAGTTAGTTCCGATGCTGAACCATTGAAACTAAAACAAGTCTTATAAGCCACGAAATATGATAATTGTTTTCTCTTATTGTTTTGAGTGCTTTTATCTTTAACACTATATACCAAGAAATCTTATGATATTTCATTTGATTCAGGATATACTCCAGGAATGTGGAAATGTGTCAAGATTTTTGTTTTCTGGAATTTTAATGGGTTAACAACACACACGCACACTATGTACTTTTTTATAAGCCCATAAAATCTGTTTGCCATCAAGACCTTTGTATAAAATATATGTATCCTATATACACAATCCCAAATAAAAATAGACTTAAAAAGATGCAGAGTGACATATCACACAAGTTTGTAGATGAATGGTTCAGAGAACCGACATGTTGATAAATTAGACGCATGTGCAACTCTTGGGTATCTTTATTGAGGAAACGTTTCGCCACACAGTGGCTTCATCATTCCATACGTAGGAGAAACTTGAAGAACAGGAGGAGAATGAGGTAATCAGTCCCTCAACCTTGAGTCGATGTGTTCAGTCCATCAATCTTGATGGACTGAACACATCGAATCAAGGTTGAGGGACTGATTACCTCATTCTCCTCCTGTTCTTCAAGTTTCTCCTATGTATGGACTGATGAAGCCACTGTGTGGCGAAACGTTTCCTCAATAAAGATACCCAAGAGTTGCACATGTGTCTAATTTATCATCACACAAGTTGTTGACATGTCCTGTAGTAGTGTAGACCTGCATGGCCCTGTAGTTATTTTCCTAGGTTTGACAAGGTGATGGGTAACCCAAACACTTGACCTGAGGTATAAAATGTTGGCTGACAAAACATTTGAAGGCACGAATATTGTATGTAAATTTACAGGAAACACCGAGAGGTCTCTAGCATAAATTCACAGGAGACACAGCTTAAACGTTAAAATGGGTTTGCTTTATGGGAATTCTCTTCATGTGCCATGGACCAGGAACAAATCTATCACATAAAGCAATGGAGATCTGTACTAGGCAAGTGGGTGTAAGTGTTATGTAAGAGCAGTATTGTATGTTACTACTATTATGCATTGATGAATAATATTTTTTCCAGAATGAAACAACATTCAAGCACATGAGAGATTTAGAGAGCTTGGAGATCGATGAATTTTATATCAGTCCTCGAGTCGACAGCATGATTGAAGCTCTCCGACTCTCTGGAGTCAAGGTGGCTGTGCTCTATCATCCTCAGGACAAAAAGAAATCACACAGTTGTAAGTAATTGAATATTTTGTGCCTCTCTTTTGTAATTCTGATGGTTGAACATGATTTTTACTTTCCTGCCATGATTCTTATGGTTGAGGACGACTTATACCTTCCTGCCATGATTCTCATTGCATTATTTTCACAGAAGAGATTAAGTCCTATATGGATGAAAACAAACCATGGACTAGAAAGGATCTGTATATGGCAAACCCTTTCATAATGTGTTGTCATTTATATTTCTGAAAATCGACACCCTATGAAAATTATGATGAGTTTTATGAAGTGAAGAACATACAGGAATAATAAATCTGTCTTGCTTCTTGCAAGACAGTGATGGAGTGAGAGATGATGAAAATGTTTCTCTTGTTTTTTTGCCTCAGGAAATGGCCAGTGTATTAAAAAATATATTTCATGCACCTCCAAATTTCCTAAACAACTTTTATATAACCTTTTCACTGCCTCTTATGTAGATCTTTGCTGTTGATGCCAGTATCATTCGTGTAGATCTGCATTTTAAACAATGCTCATCTAAATAAGCTGTGAGCAGTAAATTTTGGCCTAGACATAAGAGAATGGCTCTGTGTGGTGAGTTATCATAGTTTTAAAAAAATCCTGATCCATGCTATGCATGATGGGAAAAGCAAACCTCTGACTTTGTGTTTGGTTTAAAATAGGAACTTTGGAAGTTTTCTACAATGGTTATATGATTTTACTGGCTCCAGCTTGGTAGTGATTGATAAAATGGAAGATATACTACTGAAATAGAAATGATTTTGGTTGGTTTCAGGACTGGAAATAGCTTGAAATTGTGCTCAAAAGAGCAGAAATATTAGATTTTTGTTTCACGAATTCAAAATGGATAGCAAGTGTAATATAGGAGAGGCCTGGAGATGTGATTAATGAACAGAGGAAATGTCTTTGATGGCTGGAATGTCTACAGTGTTTATTTTGGACTCTGTTTTTAAATAGAATTTTTTTTTTAAATTTGTGTAAAATTGGCCAAATTACCGACTTCTGTGTATTTTATAGAGTAGTTCTGATAGTTGAATGGGCAGCTTCTTGTGCTCATTTGAAATATATGGCTCCTCTTTATTCATCTTTTGTTGTCCGTCATTATGGGATTTACCTGTTTATTGACCAGTGTGTGACATATCTTATTATTTCCACTCGTATATATAGTGTCACAATAATATATCAAGACTTCAGATCTTATTCACATTGATTTTACTGAAATTTTATTGCAAAGTCAATTTCTTAGTGAATGCTTTAAATCAGTAAAATGTTGCAGTTGTATTTATAAACTATTAATTTTACTTGTAGGTGTAATGAAGAAACGACAAACACTTCGAAAAATCTAGAGAATGCTAGGAGTATACTGTATTTCATCCAGATTTTTATAAGCACAGTTAAAGAAGATTGCCAGCATCCAAGATCCACAACTCTCAACCTCTATCAAAAAATATTGGAAAGATTGCTGGAACAGTGGAAGGAATCCTAAGATGTGATTAGAAGAGTTCCTGTAGGAAGTGCTTAATCAGCTAGGTTGTAATTGCTGTATGGACCTGTAGTAGCTTGACCCATCTGGCAGTTGCCAGGGAAGCTTGGCCTCAGAGTAGAGGCCACGACTAATAAAAAAAAAAAAAAAAAAAAAATTGGGTCTAGTTATGTCACAGTGGATAAGGTGTTATGTGTACAAATCATCTTTGTAATCATCAGAATATTTTTGTTTCAATTTTAAGGTTGTGATGTTCCAAGGATAATGTTCAAGTAATTGAAGTTTTTTTGTAACAGATTTTTCTTTACACACTAATCACTACATATTATGTACTTGTAAAGAGACATGCAAATACGACTTTTATTTGTATTTCCTTAACGTGCTACCAGGGTATTTATTCTGCAAATGTAAGTTACTACTACAGTAAAAATATCCTATAGATCTTGCTTTACAATGTTCTCTAATGCTTTAGTTCAGATATTTTGAGTATGTTACTGTAAACCATGGAATGGGTGGGATTTGAACCCAAGGAAGTTTCAAGACTCTTTTACCACGGGTTCAGATCTCACCCATTTCATGTTTGTTTGCAGTTGTGTTATTGCCGTTACTGTAATTGTCCAGTTAGGTTAAGCAAAATGTTTAAATGCATATATGAAAATTTTTGCAATGTTTGTTCCTTCAACCTGGTCAGGACTCCTCAGTGCAAAGGCAGTGATATTGTGTGAATGATAGCAAGTGTTGCTTGATGGTGAAAGTGTTTCTTTCTTTTTTGAGTCACCCTGCCTCAATGGGAGACGGCTGACGTGCTAAAAAAAAAAAAAATGAAAAATTGCCAGTAATTGTCTTAGAAAATTTGGCCTGTAAGTTGAATATTAAGATTCAATCCATCAGCATTAACTCATGATTGTACTGTACTTGCCTTGGTGTAAAAATTTGAATATTGAGAAGGGTGCAGCACACCACTACGTCTCATCACAACCAAGTCTGCTATTACTTCAAATGAAATATAATTTACCTAACTACAAAGTAGCTCCAAAGAATTGGATCTGACCTTCCTTTCCTTTAATAATAGAATCTGATTGTCTCCCATTCCCAAAAGCACTCTGTGATCTCTTTTTGGATTTTGTGTATATTTATACGTATATGCTTCTAAACTGTTGTATTCTGAGCACCTCTGTAAAAGCAGTGATAATGTGTGAATATGGTGAAAGTGTTGAATGATGATGAAAGTATTTTCTTTTTGGGGATTTTCTTTCTTTTTTGGGTCACCCTGCCTCGGTGGGAGACGACCGACTTGTTGAAAAAAAAAAAATAATAATATAAAATAAATATAAAATAAATGATAATGGGAGCCCTTTGATTGAACTTTGTATAGAAAGGGGTTTAGTTATAGGTAATACGTATTTTAAGAAAAAGAGGATAAATAGTATACAAGACATGATGTAGGGCGAAATGACAGTAGTTTGTTGGATTATGTATTGGTAGATAAAAGACTGTTAAGTAGACTTCAGGATGTACATGTTTATAGAGGGGCCACAGATTTATCAGATCACTTTCTAGTTGTAGCTACACTGAGAGTAAAAGGAAGATGGGATACAAGGAGAATAGAAGCATCAGGGAAGAGAGAGGTGAAGGTTTATAAACTAAAAGAGGAGACAGTTAGGTTAAGATATAAACAGCTATTGGAGGATAGATGGGCTAATGAGAGCATAGGCAACGGGATCGAAGAGGTATGGGGTAGGTTTAAAAATGTAGTGTTAGAGTGTTCAGCAGAAGTTTGTGGTTACAGGAAAGTGGGTGCGGGAAGGAAGAGGAACGATTGGTGGAATGATGATGTAAAGAGAGTAGTAAGGGAGAAAAAGTTAGCATATGAGAAGTTTTTACAAAGTAGAAGTGATGCAAGGAGGGAAGAGTATATGGAGAAAAAGAGAGAGGTTAAGAGAGTGGTAAAGCAATGTAAAAAGAGAGCAAATGAGAGAGTGGGTGAGATGTTATCAACAAATTTTGTTGAAAATAAGAAAAAGTTTTGGAGTGAGATTAACAAGTTAAGGAAGCCTAGAGAACAAATGGATTTGTCAGTTAAAAATAGGAGAGGAGAGTTATTAAATGGAGAGTTAGAGGTATTGGGAAGATGGAGGGAATATTTTGAGGAATTGTTAAATGTTGATGAAGATAGGGAAGCTGTGATTTCGTGTATAGGGCAAGGAGGAATAACATCTTGTAGGAGTGAGGAAGAGCCAGTTGTGAGTGTGGGGGAAGTTCGTGAGGCAGTAGGTAAAATGAAAGGGGGTAAGGCAGCCGGGATTGATGGGATAAAGGTAGAAATGTTAACCCTTTGACTGTCGAAGGGCCCAATCCTGAAGTTGCTCCTGGTGTCGCAAAATATTCGAAAAAAAAAAAAATTATTTTTTCTTATGAAATGATAGAGAATCTTTTCCCGATTGTAAAGACACCAAAAAAACGAAATTTGATGGAAAACTGACGGAATTACGCTCTCGCGAAGTTAGCGACTTCGGCGATATTTAAAAATCGGCAATTTCGCCCACTTTGAGCCCTATTTTCGGCTAATTCCGTTATTCCAGTCAACCAAACTCATAACTATTTCTTCAGAACTCTATTTTTTCTATCGATTGAGCACAAGAAACTGCCCATTTACCGATTTCAACTACCCAATAACATGGTCAGAAATTTGCAATTTGGCCAATTTCACGAAAATTAAAAATACGACAATTTCAAAATAAGGTCCAGAATGAACAATGCAGACATTCCTGGCTCTAAAATAAGATTTTCTTTGTTCATCAGTCATGTCTCCAGGTCCCTGTGATATTACTCTTGCTTTTTATTTTGAAATTTTATTCAAACAAAAAATAGAAGATTTACTGTTATGCAGACTACTGCAATACTGTAATAATTGTAAAAATTACATCAACCCATTCATGACTGCGTATTAGAATGGCTATTTGGACATTTATTGGACAATGACATCATTTGTTTACTTTGAACATCGGCAAAAATCAAACATTTCCTGTACTTTGTGCTCCATTTCCAGGTTCTTTTTATAGGAAAATTAATCAAAATCACCTCCATTTCTATAATATAGTTTCCATTCTATCAAATGAGACCATGAAAACGAGAATACAACCACAAATACTATACGAAAATAGACCACAAAGTCGGCATTTTAATTAAAAAAAACGGTCGGAGTTTTTTTTTTCTCATTATGCACTGCGTGCTCCAGGATTTTTTTTATGTGGTGCACACTGACCACACAGACCCATTCTCTCACATGTGGGCCTACTAGCTTTCTCCTGCCTGATTTGAAGCCGCTAGAATTTATGAGTATATATACGTCAAACACGGTACCTCACAAACGTATATATACGGCCGCGACAGTCAAAGGGTTAAAAGCAGGTGGGGATATAGTTTTGGAGTGGTTGGTGCAATTATTTAATAAATGTATGGAAGAGGGTAAGGTACCTAGGGATTGGCAGAGAGCATGCATAGTTCCTTTGTATAAAGGTAAAGGGGACAAAAGAGAGTGCAAAAATTATAGGGGGATAAGTCTGTTGAGTATACCTGGTAAAGTGTATGGTAGAGTTATTATTGAAAGAATTAAGAGTAAGACGGAGAATAGGATAGCAGATGAACAAGGAGGCTTTAGGAAAGGTAGGGGGTGTGTGGACCAGGTGTTTACAGTGAAACATATAAGTGAACAGTATTTAGATAAGGCTAAAGAGGTCTTTGTGGCATTTATGGATTTGGAAAAGGCGTATGGCAGGGTGGATAGGGGGGCAATGTGGCAGATGCTGCAGGTGTATGGTGTAGGAGGTAGGTTACTGAAAGCAGTGAAGAGTTTTTACGAGGATAGTGAGGCTCAAGTTAGAGTATATAGGAAAGAGGGAAATTATTTCCCAGTAAAAGTAGGCCTTAGACAAGGATGTGTGATGTCACCGTGGTTGTTTAATATATTTATAGATGGGGTTGTAAGAAAAGTAAATGTGAGGGTCTTGGCAAGAGGCATGGAGTTAAAAGATAAAGAATCACACACAAAGTGGGAGTTGTCACAGTTGCTCTTTGCTGATGACATGTGCTCTTGGGAGATTCTGAAGAGAAGTTGCAGAGATTGGTGGATGAATTTGGTAGGGTATGCAAAAGAAGAAAATTAAAAGTGAATACAGGAAAGAGTAAGGTTATGAGGATAACAAAAAGATTAGGTGATGAAAGATTGGATATCAGATTGGAGGGAGAGAGTATGGAGGAGGTGAATGTATTCAGATATTTGGGAGTGGACGTGTCAGCGGATGGGTCTATGAAAGATGAGGTGAATCATAGAATTGATGAGGGGAAAGGGTGAGTGGTGCACTTAGGAGTCTGTGGAGACAAAGAACTTTGTCCATGGAGGCAAAGAGGGAAATGTATGAGAGTATAGTTTTACCAACGCTCTTGGTTTAGAAAGACACGTAAGCAAACACTATAACATATTTATTAGAAAACGTTTCGGTCCTGGGACCTTGATCAAGGTGATCAAGGTCCCAGGACCGAAACGTTTTCTAATAAATATGTTATAGTGTTTGCTTACGTGTCTTTCTAAACCAACTTGTCGGTATTTATTACCAAGGTTTATACCACCAACGCTCTTATATGGGTGTGAAGCATGGGTGATGAATGTTGCAGCGAGGAGAAGGCTGGAGGCAGTGGAGATGTCATGTCTGAGGGCAATGTGTGGTGTGAATATAATGCAGAGAATTCGTAGTTTGGAAGTTAGGAGGAGGTGCAGGATTACCAAAACTGTTGTCCAGAGGGCTGAGGAAGGGTTGTTGAGGTGGTTCGGACATGTAGAGAGAATGGAGCGAAACAGAATGACTTCAAGAGTGTATCAGTCTGTAGTGGAAGGAAGGCGGGGTAGGGGTCGGCCTAGGAAAGGTTGGAGGGAGGGGGTAGAGGAGGTTTTGCGTGCGAGGGGCTTGGACTTCCAGCAGGCATGCGTGAGCGTGTTTGATAGGAGTGAATGGAGACAAATGGTTTTTAATACTTGACGTGCTGTTGGAGTGTGAGCAAAGTAACATTTATGAAGGGGTTCAGGGAAACCGGCAGGCCAGACTTGAGTCCTGGAGATGGGAAGTACAGTGCCTGCACTCTGAAGGAGGGGTGTTAATGTTGCAGTTTAAAAACTGTAGTGTAAAGCACCCTTCTGGCAAGACAGTGATGGAGTGAATGATGGTGAAAGTTTTTCTTTTTCGGGCCACCCTGCCTTGGTGGGAATCGGCCAGTGTGATAATAATAATAAATATTTCACCTACCTGACTGTAATATGTTCTGTGCTGCCTATATTCTCCAGTTAGGATTTATTAAGACTTGAAAATACCTGCTGTTCAGGCTATGTATTGAATAAATGGTTACATTTACCACTTTTGTGTCTATGTTACATTCTTAAGGGGTGTGTGATGATCCAAAAATTAGGAGCTTTCCTGCCCTTCTTGGATTAAAGCTAATTAATTAATTTTTATTGTCCAGGGACTGTATGACTCTTACCCCTCAAAGGGTAAGAGCCTTGATCTAAGGAAATGGACATTCTTCCATTTCCTTAAATTGAATCTGAAATGCTCCTATTTCCCAGTTGCTATATGACCCCCAATAGGTTTAGCTCTTTCCCCTGATTAAAATAATAAAAATGTATGACAACAAGAATTTAGTACCGGAATAAAACAATGAATAAACCTTTAAATTTTCCACTAAAACTTATTTGGTCAAATTTATAATAACATTTGAATACAGTTCTTACAGATTTTTTAATCAACTGGTTTTTTTTTTTTATTGCAACATTATGTAATGTAAGAGTATTTCAGATAAATAATGCAACCTAGATCTTAAGAGATAGATTGAAGGCTTACCAACAACCTCAGTGAGCTGAAATTTCTATGAATTAAGCCATGAATTGTGAGTGACTTCCTGGGGAGGAGGATCAGAGGACCTCAGTGGAAATATAAACATAAGAAAGAACACTGCACAGGCCTACTGGCCATACTAGGTAAGTCCAAGTCACAACCATCTACACCCACTCATGTGGTTATGTAACTTATCTTTAAAGCTACATGAGGTTTTCACTTCAATGATACTACTTGGGAGCTTGTTCCACTCGCCTATAACTCAGTTACCAAACCAGTGGTTTCCTATATTTTTTCTAAATCTAATTTTTTCCAACTTGAACCTATTGTTGCGAGTTCTGTCTTGGTTACATATTTTTAGCTTGTTATTTATATGCCCTTCATTTATTCGTGACTTCCATTTATACACCTCAGTCATATTCACTCTAACTCAATGCCTTTCCAGAGAGTGCAGATTTGATGCCCTCAGTCTGTCCTTGGAAATATAAACACATATGCAGTATAATGTGATCCTTTATTGACTACGTTTCACCCACACAGTGGGCTTTTTCAAGTCACAAACAGATCTACCTGGGGTGGAAGGGACACGAGTATTTATAGTCAGGTTCAGAATGCTGAGGTCAGGTGGAGAATGCTGCATCTGATGATGTAACGAGTGGGGTTATAGAGTCTAAAACCTTGGGTAGCTTGGAAATGAGATTGGATAAGTTTGTGAGCAGACCTTCTACAGTGTTCTTCCATTCCTTTGTTCTTATGTGGGATAGCGATGAAGAAGTTTCTTGGCAAGTGGTTCAGCTATGTTATAGAAGCCACTATTCTGGTTGAAGTTGTCGGATATAGAAATAAGTGATGATTCCAGGATTCTTCGGTATTGAGTGTTGTCTTCAGTGGCGATAAGTCTTGAGTTTCTGTAGTTTATCAAGTGGTTGTGTGAATTACCGTAATTCACTTATTTCTATATCCGACAACTTCAACCAGAATAGTGGCTTCTATAACATAGCTGAACCACTTGCCAAGAAACTTCTTCATCGCTATCCCACATAAGAACACAGGAATGGAAGAACACTGTAGAAGGTCTGCTCACAAACTTATCCAATCTCATTTCCAAGCTACCCAAGGTTTTAGACTCTATAACCCCACTCGTTACATCATCAGATGCAGCATTCTCCACCTGACCTCAGCATTCTGAACCTGACTATAAATACTCGTGTCCCTTCCACCCCAGGTAGATCTGTTTGTGACTTGAAAAAGCCCACTGTGTGGGCGAAACGTAGTCAATAAATGATCACATTATACTGCATATGTGTTTATATTTCCATTGTGTCGGTATTTTATACCATTTATTTCCATCAGTCTGTCCTTGTAGGAAAGATTTCTGATACAGGGGATCAACATGGTATGACTCCTGTGAGTTTAGTGCTTAGTTATGATTATAATAATAATAATGATACATGGGATCAACTTTATCTTTTCTGTATGTTATCCAGTGTATTTATGTCCATTCTTTAATATGGAGACCCGGTGGCCTGGTGGCTAAAGCTCCCGCTTCACACACGGAGGGCCCGGGTTCGATTCCCGGCGGGTGGAAACATTTCGACACGTTTCCTTACACCTGTTGTCCTGTTCACCTAGCAGCAAATAGGTACCTGGGTGTTAGTCTACTGGTGTGGGTCGCATCCTGGGGGACAAGATTAAGGACCCCAATGGAAATAAGTTAGACAGTCCTCGATGATGCACTGACTTTCTTGGGTTATCCTGGGTGGCTAACCCTCCGGGGTTAAAAATCCGAACGAAATCTTATCTTATCTTAACTGTGCATCATAATGTAAACGCAGGAAGCGAGACAAAACTCCAGGCTAGTGTGTGAGCCACTTGGCCAGACGGTTGAAAATGTTGAAAATGGTATAAAATATCAACAAACGGTTGGGTATCTTTATTGATGAAACATTTTGCTACAGCCGGATAAGAAGGTCAAAAAAATTGTATTATGAAAATAGATTACATAACATCAAAGGTGATATGAAAAAAATCTGGAAAACTCTATCTGAAATTCTTGGAACTAAAAAGTTATCCAAAAACAAAGCAATAAAACTAACAAAATCAGATGAACCCCTACTCACTCCTACCGAAACAGCAAACAGACTTAATGTTTTCTTCTCCACCACAGGAAAAAATCTAGCAAACAAAATACCAAGCACAAACGCCCGTCCATCAGACTACCTCATAGGAACCTACCCAAATACAGTGGACCCCCGGTTCACGATATTAATCCGTTCATGAGAGCTCATCGTAAACCAAAATTATCGGAAAGCGAATCAATTTTCCCCATAAGAAATAATGGAAATCAAATTAATCCGTGCAAGACACCCAAAAGTCTGAAAAAAAAATTTTTACCACATGATATATTAAGTTTAATGCAATATAATAATTACAATAACAATAATAACAATAGAATAATCACAATAGAATAATTGACACTTACCTTTAATGAAGATCTGGTGATGATTGATGGGATGGGAGGAGGGGAGAGTGTGGATGGTGTTAGCATTTAGAAGGGGAATCCCCCTCCATTAGGACTTGAGGTAGCAAGTCCTTTTCCGGGGTTACTTCCCTTCTTCTTTTGATGCCACTAGGACCAGCTTGAGAGTCACTGGACTTCTGTCGCACAACATATCTGTCCATAGAGGCCTGTACCTCTCATTCCTTTATGACTTTCCTAAAGTGGTTCACAACATTGTCAGTGTACAGGTTGCCAACACGGCTTGCAGTAGCTGTGTCAGGGTGATTTTCATCAAAAAAGGTTTGCACTTCAAGCCACTTTGCACACATTTCCTTAATTTCAATAGTCATTAGCACCCTTGGTCTCGATGGGTTGGCACTAGAAGCTTTCTTGGGGCCCATGGTGACTTATTTTGCAGAAACAAGCACCAAAAACAGTGATAATATGGATAACATAGAATGTACCAAATGTATCCTTAGATGCGCGCACACTGGCTGGCTTGTAAACACTGGACACATCTCGTATGAATCGTATCACATACCGGGTTTTGTAACGGGAACCGAGGCAAATTTTTTGCGATATAATGCTTCGGATACCGGATTTATCGAATACCGATGGCTTCGCGAACCGGGGTCCACTGTACGCTATTCCTAGCTCCAACCAACCCCACCAAAGTTATGCTCATCATAAACATCCTGAAAAACAAGGCAGGAGATATAAAAAAACTTGCTTGCTTTTATGTACAA